GTCTGTCTGTCTCTCTCTCTGTCTGTCTGTCTGTCTCTCTCTCTGTCTGTCTGTCTCTCTCTCTGTCTCTCTCTCTGTCTGTCTCTCTCTCTGTCTCTCTGTATCTGAATGTTCTTTGACATTCTTACTTAAATGTTTGCCATGCCCTGTATTTCAGGTGTCTCGAGAAGTGGGAGGAAGAGAGAAGGAACTCACTCATCAGGTTCACCGGGAGATTTTGGTTCGATGTTTAGATCAAGTTAAAACTCTTGCCCCCATATTGATTTGTAGTATGAAAATTTTCATACATATTATTGCTCAGGGTCAGTACTTTAAAATTCATTAATTGCTTTGCAAATTCTTTGACTTGAAATGCATTTCTGTAATGTTCAATGTGTGTTTTCATAGGAGGGAAAGGTGGTGAAGAAGCGGCTGAAAACAGAAATTATTTAGCACAACGAATGACTGATGAAATTAATGAAATAATTCGAGTGTTACAACTGACAACATATGATGAAGAAGAATGGGATGCTGACAATATTACAGTAATGAGAAAAGCTCAGAATGCTATTGAAGGAAAACTGCGTGCAGCATATGACTGGCTTGAGGTTTGTTATCACTCAAAATTTGAGCCCTACAATATTTATGCTTATTTACTCTAACTAAATACTAAATACATACAATTTCTATACTCATAATTAAAGTAATATTATCGGAAATTTTGTCAGTGTTTGTAAACATAAATTATCAGTAGAAATGTTTTATTACAAAATTAACTATTTCACAATGCAATCACGTTATGATCATCCTTGTCAATAATTATTACCATGACATGAATAGCAAATGGCATGAAAATTGTTTCCTATTTGCAAGAATCAAAAACATCGTTACTATCTTCGGAATCCCACAATGTGAATTTCACTAATAGAACAACAGCATACATAAAAAGTAATCATTCGAGGGTTAATGCAGTTATTTTTCAAGAATAGTTATTTGATTTTATTTGAGTACTCCTTTGTAATGATTCGAAACAATTTTGTTCAGTCTGCTGTGTGCACATTCTATTCACACTCAATGCACTTAATGTAGAACAAACCAAACAAAACATCGATGAAAAAATATATTAAAAAATTTGAATAAATTTAGGTTTCAAATTATGGAATACCCCTTATCAGTTGTAGTCATTACTCTTTGTTACTGTATGTCCATATTACTAAATTATTACTTCTGAATCTTACTTATATCATTTCAACCTTGTATTTATTTTAGTCCTTAAAATGTGTTTTGTCCTTTGTTGCAATTGTCCAAACACAATATATGTGTGCATAAAATAATAAATCATTGTTTAGTCGTGGGAGTAAAATATGTTTTTCTTTAAAATTGCTCATAATTCTTAGTTTATTACAGAATCTGTCAAAGAGAAATTTGTTCTCATTTCTTACTGCCACTAATAATATGTAAATATTACTGCTTTTGAAAGTTCTGTTGGCAATATTTTTTTTTTAATGTACAGGATCCTTTGGCGTTGAGAGGAGGAGTGGGTGAAAAATCAGTGCGACAGATTTTGGAACATGCACAGCGGGTGGCAGAACGCTCCCTTCCTCCAGATGCAGAAGCCATTCATAAACTTTGTGGGGATGTGACAACAATGGCAGATGCGTTATGTGAATTGCGACAAGATGGAAAAGGAACAACTCCTCAGGTACACAGTTATTATATTCACCTGAATCCAGTATGCAATGTGTGCAAGATTTTAAAGATCTGTTTAGTTTGACAATAATTTAAGTATTCCATTTTTGTGTTACTATCATCTTACTTTACGTATTTCTTGTATTGCGAGTCAACATTATTACTGTCTTGTTTGTAGTTTTAATGATATGAAAGTTGTGTAATTGCTTATTTACCTGTAGAAAGTATCATATTTATCTGAATATAAGATAACCCCCTAATTAATTAATTGATTCATTTATATTAATAGCTGAAAATATACGTAATTATTCCTGAATATCCACTTAATAAAAGATCTGAAAACAAAAACTGTGAAAATAAAAAAAGATCTACTGATTTGTTACAAAGTTTCCAAAGAATGCTGTTGTTTATCATCTATACATCACAATCCAATTTTATTTTATATCAAAAAAATATTTTTGATTTTAATCGCTGTTTAGAGTTATGTTGATTTTTATTTATTTCTGCAGGCAACCATCTACTTTACAATCAAATACAGAAACAAAACACAATTAGAACTTAAATTTATAAATACATAAAATAAATCATTCTACAAAATCATTCAAAATAAGTTTGTTTGCTTCATTGATAAATTGATAACATGTCAAAGCATTAAGATCAAGTTTAATATTAACACTTTCATTGCCAGGCACCCTGGTGGTCATTTAACGTCCCTGAGTGAGGCATATTTGACATGTAGGTGGGATTTCACTGGGTCAGATATAAATTCGCATATCTCAGGAACTATCATACACAATTTATAGAAATTTTCAGGACATACTTATTAAGTTTTAAGGGAATGATATCTTGTGTAACAAATACCAAGGTGGAGTAGTATTTTACAATTAATGCACAGGAAATTTGTGTTACTGTATCAGCTAGTTGAAGTATCGCAAATGTTTTTATTTATCCATTCTTGAGAACTTCCAAACCTTTATCACTTTCGTCAAATAGCGTCATATTTTCATCACCAGAATCATCGTCGCCAAATATTTCATCTTTTACGAAAGGAATTTCCTCAGGATACTGAGATCTATCACCACCAGCACTCGTATAGACAGCTATTTTCTAAACAAAATAAATAACATCTTTCAAAGTCATTTTCATTGCAACAAAAACAATGTATATCGATCATATGTAGGTATCAAAAGATCACTATTTCACGCTTCTTCGGTAAAAAAATTTGCATTTGAATCGGACGGCATTTGAATGCCGTCCAACGGAGATTTAACACGCTATTTGAATACATAAGATAACTCATCTATCGACGTACTTGGCAGTGGCAGAGCAGAAAATTAAAAATGTAGTGGCAGAGCAAAAAATTTGGCACTGAAAGCACATGACAATATTTTCTTTGAGTAGATCATTGAATGGGGGTAAAATTGACAATGTTCTTCACCAACATGGAAATGAATCCTTCCAACTTCCATTCTTGAACTTCGTATTAAATATTTAGAGACTAATAATAAATTTTATTATAGTGTCATAAAGTGTTGGTATTGAATTGTACATGCTTTCATATTTAATTTTCATAACAATTATATAATAATTTATTTTATAACAATTTCTTTGCTGGGCGTTTCTGTTTGCCCAGCATTCACAACACAAACTTCTTATTTATACTACACGTACTTGGTAAAGCGTAAGTTAGAATTATCTTCTAGGTATGCATTTTTTTCATTGCATTTTGTGTGCTTTTCAGTGGAAACGTCATGGTTGCTTCTAGTTGAGTTAATATTAGTGAGCCTGAAATTTTGCTTAATGGAGTGTTTTGTGATAGTTGAAAAATTCTTAGTAATAACTTAATAACCCTTTCTTTGTCTCTCCATGCAGGCAGAATGTTTATCAAGAGGCATTCAAGAAAAATTGGCAGATGTTCAGAACCTAGTAATGCGGGCAGTAGTGAGCATGGAAAAGTCTGGTGTGCAACAACCTGCGCACACTGTGTCTGGCCGTCTGGAACAAGCACACCGCTGGCTGTCAAATCCAGAACGTGATGACCGTGGCTTGGGTCAACAGGCTATTGCACTAATTGTGGATGAAGGAAAGAAGGTAAAGTGGTTATCATAATGTGTATATAGTTTGCACGTTATATTTGTGTCTGTTTTGTGGGTCTGCTCCTAGCAATGCATTGTTTTGCAACACTCATTTCTTTCTTAGATGAAATGGCTTGTACCAACCTTATTTAATGTACATAAATGATTAACCAGAAAGGGTGTTTCATTGTAGTTTGTCTCATTCATGATTTGTTTATTTCTTTCATTACATCACTTCAAAGCTTCAGCTGTTTTTCAGTACTCTGTAGCATGCCTTTGTGCGAGTGTGTGTGTGTCTGTGTGTGTGTGTGTCTGTCTGTGTGCGCGAGTGTCTGTCTGTGTGCGCGAGTGTCTGTCTGTGTGTGTGTGTGCGTGCGAGTGTCTGTCTGTGTGTGTGTGTGTGTGTGCGTGCGTGCGAGTGTCTGTGTGTGTGTGTGCGTGCGTGCGAGTGTCTGTCTGTGTGTGTGTGTGTGTGCGCGCGAGTGTCTGTCTCTGTGTGTGTGTGTGTGTGCGCGAGTGTCTGTCTGTGTGTGTGTGTGCGTGTCTGTGTGTGTGTGTGTGTGTGTGTGTGTGTGTGTCCACGCTCGCGTACATGTGTGATGTAGTAACATGCTACTTGCGCTTCAACATTGTTGGATGGTTGATCATAATTTTAAAACCTTTGCACTATCACGTTACTTTTTATTCAGGATTCTAGAAAGGAATTGCTCAGTGAAATTGATCATAAATTGGTCACTAGAGTGAAATTTATTCTACACTCCAAAATAGACAAGCATTTTGATAGAATTTGCTCGATTTATGCATGTGCATGATTCCCATAATTAAGATTATTAATGTAACTTTTAAAAAAGTTAATTTAATGTCAATAAATGTTTGAAAGTGCATGGTGTACCGTTGTATGTAGTTGTGCTATTTTCTTCAACATATTTTGAAAGAGTAAATTGTTTAGTAAGTACAATTGTAATGATGAGTAATATGATAACCAACTTCAGTTGTAAATAAAAGGAAGACAACCTGGTGATGTGACAGAACATACTTTATCAAATTATTTGTAATGGGTACACGATATTATAGTACTGCATAAAAGTGATATAAGTGTTTCCAACCAATAAACATTTTTTCTCTGCGGTGAGATTCATACTTGCAGAGTAAGCATGCACACATTTAAGTTACCTCTATTCCCCCAACCTCACTGCCAAACTGAATCTTCCCGGCATTTTGAAAACTAGTGATGCTCCAAGAGCACAAACTTTCTTGCATCAGTAATGATAAAATTATAATACTGCAATTTCTGTCCGAAATAATACATCTCAGCCATCTTGTAAAACTCATTACCATTCATTGCACATTAGGTGGGGAAGTGTGGGAAATTAGCAGAATTATTCTTTTTCTTAGACTTTTGCTGCTAACAGCCAGTTACCCTTTGTGTCCCTATGAGACACATTTGACTATACATTAGACATTAACACACATACAGGCTCATATGATCTGTGGTCAGCAGAACGTGAGGCCCTCCGCAACAATACATACCTTAGAGACAAGTGTCAAACAACCATGCCCAAGGCGTGACTCGAACCCGCAACCCGTCAGACCAAGGTGCTGAGTCTGTACACGCTCGAGAAAAAATTTAGAGCTGTTTTTTAGGAAATGTTTGTAATAATTGCAATTACTTTAACTAGAAATTACACAAAAACTCTCCTCTTTTTGAATTGTACATGACTTTGTTAAAGAATATTTATTTTTAGAACAAATTTAATTTAGCAAAAATTTCAAACTTCAATATTGTCTATGGAGAACATTAAAATAATTTTGAACCGTCATTTTTAAAAAAACAGGGAATTAAACAAAAATGAGATCCATGTCATTTTTTAAAGAGTTCTTTGTGGTATTTGAGAACAAAATTTATTACCAAAATTTGAAGCTATTTTTGCTAAAAGTTTGAAAATGGTTTTTGAAGGTTTATGTAAAGTATTCCCAAAGATCAAAATATCCATTTGAAACTCTTAGAGCCTTAAGTTTGTTCAGTTTAATCATGGAATATCACTTGGAGAAAGTCATTTGAATGCTTTAAGCCAGGTTGCAGGTTGCTGCGGCCCACATTACCAACTCTTGTGGCGCGCGAAAGGTTATTAGTCAAAAGAGAAAGTTCCTTGCATCCATGTCACGCAGGAACATTGCGCACATGCCCTCTCAGAATCAACATGTCCTTAATGTAAAATTAAGGTTAAGTTTAGATTTCAGATTTTTTTTCAGTAAATTACGAATCATCCTAATGCCTTTCACTGCATTTTGCATGGTAACACCCCTCCTAGCACGAATATTTCCTCACCTCCCCCCCCCCTCCGGATCAGAGCAGCCGAGAAAACTGATGTGATCAACAATACAGTGAAGTCAGGTGTGGATCATTTGAGTAATGTAAATATGATCTGCAAACATATTAAATATTTTAGTTGTGACCCTTAAAGCCTTGCAAGTTAGACACCCCTTGTTTAGGTGCTAGGATTGATCACAGACTGGCAGTCTGAATAATGAGAGGGCGAGCCGATGGATACTGGGACAGTGTGACTGAGTGACACACATTTTGCTGTTATTTCATTTTTTGGGATCAAAGACCCCCCCCCCAAAACAAGGATTTTGACTACAGATGTTAGAGAAAGTAATTTACTACTTATAGGATTTATCCCCTTTTCATTACCTATGCCTGGCTATAAGCTGATAAGTTAACAATAAGTTCTCGTCCATTAAAACTGAATTTTGAATTTTTTTTGAATTTGCCTTATTTTACATGGCGAGACTCGGGCCATCAGGCCCGCTCTTCCGTCCGACCACGCAAATTTCGCTACTCTCCTTTCACCAACTAGCAGAGAAAGGAGGTATATCTTGGGCGAGAAACAAAGTGAAGAACATTTCTATTCACAAATGACATAAATGTTCTTTGCAAAAAAGAAACAATAAATAGTACAGTTTCAAAAGTTTCATAATAACACAATTAACGAAGGAAAAACTGTTTCAATGCATTTAAACCGGCAATCGCATGCTCCATTGAAAACGAACAGTATGCAATTAGCTGATGTTAAGTATCAAAATTTCTGGGTCTCTCAATTCAGTCAAACATTATCAGCAATTGTCTGTGAAAACAGAAGTAAATTAGTAATGGTTTATCTACCCTCAATAAAACCATGATGCTGAGAATTAAATGGTTTAACTGCTGAGTATTATATGTCATAAAGGTGATTCTTGAGTATCTTTGAAAAATTAGTCAATAAAGAAACAGGCCTATAATTCTTGATCAAAGATGGATCACCTTTTTTAAAGACACGACAGACTTCCATAGAAGGGAATGTACCTGACACTTTTTTTAAAAAAATCATAAAAAGGAGCACAAATATTGCATCTACACATTTATGAAATAAAATTGAAGATATTTCATCCTCTCCAGAAGTTATTTTGTCAGGCATAGAAGACATTTTTCCTTAGCGAAGTCAATATCTAGAAATAATTCATTCGCAAGCTGATTCAATAATCCATAATTTTCAACCAAGGGAGCATCAGAACTATCATTGAAAACAATGAAGAAATGCTTGAAAAGGTATCCACAATAGCCAGAGGTTTTGAAGTGCTATTACCATTGTAATGCATAGTTGTTGGAATTCTAACAGTTGTAGAAGCACCAGTAGTGTGTGCCCAAAATTACACAAGATCATTAACAAGAGACTATTCAATATTTCTGTTAAATCATTATTGTTTTCTAATTAAAATTTTCAAATCGCTACCAAGAAGTTCTATAATAGCCGTATTATCATTAAAATCTGAATTGACGTGAAGTCCAACTTTAATTGTTTCTGCAATATATTTTTTAATCTTTTGATCTGGTTCATAATTTCTCTATCATACCAAACAGGATATTTTCAAGCCGATTACATAATAATTGTCATATAAAAGCACAAAACTTGAAATAGTTTGAAATAAAAAAAGTCTACATGCATCATTATTTATACAGGAAAATCTTTCAGTTTTTCAAAACTCTATGATGAATCTTCACTGATTTTGAATTTACTTTTAATGATTATTTTTTGTAATGTTTGTTTTGTAACTATAATTTATCAGGGGTAATTCAGATTTTTCTTACCTCTCTTCTTCCTTCCTTTTTTCTTAATTTTATTTTCTTCACAGTATCCTTTCATTTTGCACTGAAAAACTTTTATTAATAAAAGGGAATGTAAATTTGCGACGTCTTTCATTTCATTGTACTTGCATTAATTTGCACATTAATTGCATGTCTTGCAGCTATTACCTTATGTTTTGTGTCTTTGTTATGCCACTTCATGTTGACTTACACATGTTTCCAATGTGATTGTGCACTGGTGTAATTTGACACCTTGGTACCTCAATGATGTTGAATATACTGTGATTACCTTTTACATTAACATATTTTGGAGTTGATATGTGTTATGTGATGGTGATATATTCTTTTCATGTTTTCTCCTAATATTTTCCTGCTATTGGAAGCAAATTATTGTTTGTTTGTTTTTTAAATATGTCTTATGCTAGAGTTTCTAGTATCTGATAAAACAACTCTGGTCTTCACTGTAGCGATATATATTGGAAGAAATATACTCTATTAATTAAGTGATAATGGATTATTACAGTTAAAACTACATAATTAGTGTCAAAATTAATTTTTTACTACTTATGTTTGTGTAAAAAATTCCAGTGAGGAAAAATAGAGGGGGAAATTGTGTAAATAGCTTAAAGTGTCCTTTCAAGATGGAAACATTGGAATTAGATCTTATTGATTGGATTTTGTTGTGGGCTTCTGGAGATTGTCACATGCTTGCTTGTGGCTTTCCAGGTGATGCCAAGTCCTTGGCTCTTCACTTACATTTTGACCTTCATTATGTAGTCTTCTAATGAAGAACAATCATACTATACTGTCAGTGCCTAAAAAATAGAGTGCAAATGTAAAATATTTTATTCTTGCAAGTGAACATGAGAAATAGGATATTGTGTTTGAATAATTTATATTCAACTTGGTTTGTGGAAAATGTATGAATGTCACTTTTTAATTTTAGAAATGTGTGAAAGTGTAACCCCACCAAGTTTAAATTGAAGAAGCATGTTGGGTTGTAACTTCAATTCACTATTTGCACTTTGATCATGAGTTGTGCTTTGCAGGCAACTCACGCCCCTGCCATAACATTCACAGGCAAAACATGTTGCTCCTCATTGAATGAATAAATTTTTTTTGTCTGTCTTGACCTAATATTTATAACAGTAAATTCAACTTTTTAATTATTGCACTCTGAATGTGACTGCATTAGTGTATTAATGTTAATCCTCAAAAATTCGTCAAATCATCAGAGGATTGTAGTGGATGAAGTAAGGGATGACCAGAACAACCTAGATAGGAAGGGAGAAACAATATTTTGTATCTGGTTTTATCTGAAAATAAATTAAATACCAATTTTGTTATGTTATCTGTATCCAGTAACAGTCAATTTTACACATTGTGTTGTTTTTGTTTGTACTAAAGTATAATAATTAAGAAAACTGGACGATGTATTCATTATAGAACATCTTTCTGCATAGATTGTCTTGATGATAAAAAAGGTTTGGACTAAACTGGTGACTAAAATTATTGTAAAAGGGAGCATGCAAATCATGATTTAATTATCTTTTAACTACAGTAAGCTTGAACTATTTCTGACAGTTTCTCACTTGTTTCTGCTTTCTTACAAGGACCAACGAAAGGTCAGTAATGGAATGAGTAATGTGAGTAACTTCATTCAATTTGTTGGTTTTGGTACTACGGAACAGTGATTTTATTATGATTGTTGAATTCAAAACAATTTTGCATCTTGTTCAAGTCAGTGGTTATTCTTCTGTGTATGTTGTAAATGTAGGGAAATAGTTTCATATTAACGTAATGTCTGTGGGATAAATATAATATTAATTTGTTGCCATTTAACTCCCTCAGTTGGCACAGTTGCAACTGTTCTTGAGAAGAACCAATTGTATTGCACATATCAAAATAAAATATTCAAGAAACTTCTTTTGGGCTTTTGTCTACTCATGTGTTGCTTTTTAACTTGGCAAGGTGAACTAGCTTGTTCTCCTTTCTTGAGAGCGTGAATGGACACTCTTTCCATCACTACTTGCTTACTGCTTTGTACTTTTGGCACAATTATTGAAAAATGTTTTAAGTGTGAGGAATTTGTATGGATTAAAATTAATGGAACGTTATTTACATAGGCATTGTGTATTTCCCAAATGCAAATTATGTATAAATACCTTACTTTTGTACTTGGCTACACAGCAGTAAAATATAGTGATGTTAAGCAACAAAGGTACATTGATGATACCACTGATCCACCCACTTCTACAAACTTTTAAGATTATTTCAAATACTGTGCCAATTGGAGGGTTAGTGGAAAGACTTTTTAAATATTGTATAGTGGTATTCTTCACTTAATCACATTTTGTTTATATTTGTACATGAGTAGCCTACAATTAGTTAAAAAATAATATACAAACTTGATTGGGTATATATATATATATTTTTTTTTTTAGCTGCACTTTTTCTTTTCTTTCCTTTTCTTTTCTTTCCTTTTCTTTCCTTTCCTTTTCTTTCCTTTCCTTTTCTTTCCTTTCCTTTTCTTTCCTTTCCTTTTCTTTCCTTTTCTTTCCTTTTCTTTTCTATTTCATCTTTCCAAATTAGTGCTGCTGAATATTGTAATTGGCATATAATCTAAGTAACAAGTTAAAAACCTTAGTCATTTCATGAAGTCCAAGCAGTTGACATCAGGAATAAAAAATCAAGTTGAGGAAATTTACAAACTTGATAAATACAGTATTTACCAGTAAATATTAATTATAACCATAAATTTATGAGCTATTACTCTCTTTTAGTAATGTCTTAATATAACTGAATTAATCACTTAAATAGCAACCGTTGTAGGTCTCAATGCCTTGTTTGTCTGCTAGAGATGGGTTGTTATTTGTGTGTTATTTCTCAAAAACTTTGACATTCATTACATAAATTAGAGAGATATGTTGGTTATTGAAAGTTGCATTTAGCTACATTCCAATGACCAACAGTTTGGTATCTTTGTTTTAAATAAAATGAATGTTTTCATTTCCTTAAATCACATTTATCTCCTAGTCTATCTCCAAATTAAACTCCTCACCATCATGCAATGCATAGTATCAATTCAGCCTCTCTTAGCACTGAAATGGATAGTGTATTTGGGCTGTGAATGGGACTTTGAAATTTCATGCAGGACTTGCAAGGGCAGTGTTTTCATTCCTCTGTATTGTAACTTCTTCCTTAACTGCCTATTATTCAAATTGTAGGTTACCTGGGAAATAAACTTTGATGTGTAATTGTAGTTTTTCTTTTCAAGTAAGTTTTATGCATTTTATGGTAGAGTGCATATTCCTGAAAATAAATTGTGTAGAGGACATGGGCAATGAAATGGGATCCATAGAAGATGCCTCAGTTGCATGATTAACATTAGTCTCTGCATGCATTTGATTATATTTTTGACTACATGAATGTAAAATATTTCATTTTTAGTTTGAATAGATTTATTACATTAATCATCTGTATTCCTGGTTAAAGGTGGCAGAAGGGCTTCCTGGCATTCAGAAAGCAGAAATCTTGGGCCTTTGTGATGAAGTTGATACACTATCTCATCAACTGAGTGATTTGTGTCGTCGTGGAATGGGTAATAGCTCCCAGGCTCAAGAAATTGCCAGGTGAGAAGATTAAGACATTGTAATTATGTGCTTTCTAAGTATAACATTGCCAGTTTGAGGAACTTTGAAAATGAGTTTCATTGCAGTTTTGATATTTATAGTTATATGACTTGTCACTTACTCCTTTCTTTAGCTTATGTTAGGCCATGTGACTCATAAAAAATAATTGTTAGCCACAAGAAAGCAGTTGAACTGAATTGAACATTGTTATTCGATCAGATACTTAGGCTAATATTTTAATAAAGATAGTATGGTTGTTTGTCATGCATGTTGTTACGAGCCAAAGTTTAAAGAAATTCCACACTGCAATACTATTTCCAATAATAAAGTCTAGCTACTGTGTTCACATCTTCACGTCGACAAGTCGCATTGTTTTCATCTCTTGGTGTCTAACATTTTAAACTTATTGAAATGGTTAGGAATGAATGCACTTTAAAGTTTAGTTTTCTTCAAAATTTTACAGTTGATTATTTTCTTAATTAATGCAGAATCTTTAACAGAAATATAAAATGTGTCTGTTGAATTAATTTATTATTGTTATAGGGTACTATCACAAAAATTGTATGAACTCAAAAATCGAATTCAAAATGCTGTCGTGAATCGAGTTGTGGAAGATTTCATTGACATCAATACACCATTGAAACAGTTCACTGATGCTGTTCACATGGCAGAAGGTATGATGATATTCTACAAATATTTAATAAATTATTGATACCATAATCTATTTATTTATATTATAAAATTATCTCTTACTAAATAAATTGACATAAAAAGAACATTGCCACCAGTTACCTTCAGTAGGCTATATTTTGTGTGTGTGTGTGTGTGTGGGGGGGGGTAGTTGAAACATTCACACAACGTGAAGAAAGTTTTTAAAAACTTGTCAATGTGAGCTGTTCAAATATTTTCTTTTCTAATTTGAAAATCAGTTGAAGGTTCTTCTCGTGGTCTTCCTCAGGGCTAGTCTTAAAGACGCTTCCCGGAGGAAGACCACGAGAAGGTGGTCAAAACGTTGTCAACCCAACCTTCGACATGGCATCACCCTGACAGCCAAGATCTCATCAGTAATTGGTTGTCTGTTCTTTTCTTATTTTGTACAAGTTTGTAAGGATACCCCCTCTGCCATAGTTGCATAGTCTTTCAATTTGCCTCTGAATTTCACCCCCATACTGGATCTCTGGTGTAAGCTGTAAATGGAGATCAAATGACAGTCTTCTTTCTATGCAATTCTGATATTCCCAAATAAAGCAATGACTGTGCTTGCCTAATGAGAAATATTTTCTGCCTGACTTAGAATTCTATGTAGACTGTCTCTTTGTCCCATTCTGTAATTATTCCAGCAAGCAGCTCTGTATTCTAAAATTGGGCAAATAAGTGACATGTAAGCCAACGCCTTCGCAGTAGAACTGCTTCATTACTAATGAAGTTGTAATGAAAGTTTTTCACAATGTTGATGACTTTTGTTGTTGTTGTTGTTGTTGTTGTTGTTGTTGTTGTTGTTGTTGTTGTTGCAAATGTTCAATATCTTCATTTGATACAATTGCTAGGAAGAACATACAGTTATCTGCAAACAATCATGATTGCAATGTAATGTTCTGTATCAATTTAGGGATAAAGGCAAGAAAGTGGGGCAATTGCCATTCCCTGAGAGTGCCTGGATAACAAATAGAGGCAAAGTCTGAGAACTTTTTACCTGTTTGTACATTTTGTTTTAAATCTTGGAGAAATTCACTAATCCACACAACAATTCTCATGTTGGTGTCCAATTTGGCTAATTTTTCAATTGCTAGCTTGTTGGGAATGACAAGGAACTCTGTCATGAAATCTTTTATTATTGCATTAACTCCACCTCCTGAATGGATTTCTTCAGTCAAGTTCTAAAAAAGAGAGCTCCTTTGCCTTCGCATGAGCAATTATTTTTGATCCTATTCCTGAAATCAAGTATATGAAAAAAGAACAGTCCAAGGATAAATTCTTGAGGGAACAGTTTTTGGCTTCATGTGGGTTTGAGAAAAGATAGTTAATTTTTACTTTAAATGTTCTATTCAATGGTTATTTATATGTTTATTTCAATGTAATTTTTTTAAAAAATTAACTTTAAATTACTATTGCTGTTCTCTTTTGCTCTTATTTAAGTTTTTATCAACATTTAGGAATAATAGTGTTATTTTAATATTCTAGAAATCCCTGGTGCTGAACATAACTTTGTTGAGAAAGCCCAACAATTGCAACAGTTTTCTAATCGCGCTTCAAAAACTGCTCGAATGGTAGCTGCTGGAGGCAGTGGTGGAAACAAGAAGCTGGCAGAAGCCCTTTTGAACTCAGCTACTCAGGTTATTAGCCTTATTGTTAGACATTACTACAGTGACAGAAAGCATCACTTGAATTTGTGTTTGATTTTAAAAATTAGTTGTAAAATGTTTGTTTAGTTGTTTTCTGTTTTAATTGTTTGTTGAATAGGAGCTAGGTAAACTTAATTGTATATTGAAACTGCCATCGCCATTACTATCTGAATGCTTAAAAAAAAAGGTTTTATTTGTTCGTTGGTTAAAACTGTCTAATAGTTTCCAAGTACAAAGTTGTGAATTGAAAAAAATTGGTTTAACAGCAGTTTTCAATCATTCTAAAAAGAACATGATGACTATTGGAGATATAAGTTTTAAATTTTCAGGTGGAGAGCTTGACACCTCAATTGATCAATGCTGGTCGCATTCGTATGAATTATCCTGAGAGTAAAGCAGCTGATGAGCATTTTGAGAACCTTGTGTCTCAATATTCTGATAGTGTGCAGAGAGTACGTGCATTGTGCGATGAAGCAACTGATTCTGCTGACTTCATTAGAATGTCAGGTTTGTTCATAAAATATACGAATCTCATTGTAGACGTGACATAATTTGGATAGGCTTGTTAACTATTAAGAATTATTGTTATTATTATTATACCATTTCACAATAAGTATTTTTACCTTGAAGTATTTAATTGTGTAATATTCTCTTACTTATCCTTATTACAGTTGTATTGCTTCAAACAAATAAAAAGCAACATATTGCAAAGAAAAGTATGACTGTGTTTAGCATTCCTGCAAACGGTGTTTGAAAAAATGTGGAGACATTTATTTATGTAGGTTATTAACAACGAGTGAAAATGAAATGCTATAAGAATGTCATAAAATATAATATAAATTCTAATGTTGCAATAAATTTAATTAATTTATCAATGAATATTTGCAAGTTTGTATTAAAAGAGCATCTGGAGAGACAATTTATTAAAATTTGGGCACTCTTCACTACTACCTCATTTAGACATTAATTTAGTTTAAGAATTTAAGTAGTAAAAAATTCCATACATTTGAATTGTGAAATATTTTTTTCTAAGTTGAAAAGTCGGATCTCTCGCTGAAAACAAGGATTTCAACTTTATAGAATCGAAGACATCATTGATAATTTTAAATAACTTGTGTTCCTCATTGTAAATCTTTTATGACTTAGACTCTTTCTGAGAGAATCAATGTGATTGATCACAGCTTGGCATGACTATGAATAAATAAACAAAGAAAAGGCATGTAATGTCATTATGGGTGGTGAGGCTCAGGTAGTGATGCCTGCTCTTCCTCCTAACTACTTTCAAATATTTAATACAAAGAAATAATGAGGTCCTTCACCAAAAATTTATACATACTCTTAGGGGAATGGAGTTGTAACAAGAATAAAAACAAGGGAGGGGGTTGACGGTAAATGAACATCTTCACAGCATTTTTGTGATTATATTATTGACTTCAAATTAGAAATGAATGTTAAAATTAATCAAAAATATAGCGAGTTATTAAATTTTAGTGAAATCACACTCTCAGCAAGTGAGCAGTATTCGAAGATTTGAAATTGAATATTTAACTCTGGAGGATGTTAGCACATTTTTTAAGATTTTTTATTTTTTAGTTTATTATAGTCACATCAACAGCTGTGGTCATTAGCGACTACTTTAAATACAACTTAATAATATTTATATGTTAACTTTACAATATAATACAGTATGTATATAAATATGTGAAGACAGACATTATTTGTTATTTTTGTTACAATATTAGTTTTCAGTATCCATACTAGTATACCTTTTACAATTAGATTTCTTTGAGAATATTACAGTCTTTATAGAATTTTAATGTTTAGTTTTGGTATTCGTTGGCCAATAGCACCAAGTCGGGATTTTTTAAGTTGTTAAGAAAGTTGGAGGGGGTTTAAGAAAGCTAAAATATTGTAAATATAAATGTTTTTTTAATACCTCCTAACAAAAATTAGAATGAGGAATTACTAAAACCATATGATACTGAAATGAAATAGAGATTAAAAAAATGCTGTTTTCTTTTCTCTTTTACAGAGGAGCAGATTCGAAAACATACTCTTCTTTGTGAAGAATCTATTAGAAAGAACCAACCTCAAAAGATGGTGGACAATACATCTAGTATCGCTCGTCTTGCCAATCGAGTACTGATGGTAGCCAAGCAAGAAAGTGATAATTCAGAGGATCCTAATTTTGTTGAAAGAGTGAACCATGCTTCATATACTGTGCAAGGCTGTAAGTTTAAGGGAATATGTTGCTTCGGGTGTATTGAGTGGTGGCGAGAAACTGTCCCAACCTGTTCTATTTTCTTTGTTCCTGAACCAGTAAGTCACATCTTACTATTTAATCATGAAAACATTCAAATTCAGTGGAATCCCTGTTAAAACAGCCACTGATGCTTTCAAAACAAAAGTAATTATTAAGAATTGTCTCTTGAAAGACATTTTCCCTCTGTTAAATCCCTTCTTTTTCTAAATTTAAGTAATTAATCCAAGCAATAAAAGCAAAAGCTTTCAAATCTTAATTAATCGTATTATAATTTTCTGAGATATCAAGGCAGATTTAAGTATGAGAAATTGAACAATTCTCCTACATTAACTTTATTTCCAGAAAACTAGTTCTTCACCAGTTTTCCTCTTTAAAATTATCTACTGGGTAAGAAATTTGTTTCTTGAGCAATGAAACACTTTGACTACTTCGGCAATTTGTTGGTGCTTTCTGGATGAAGTTTAGTGGCTGAATCTGAAAGACTGTTGTGGACCAAGAAGGCCATTAGGAAGTCAGCATGACTGCTGACATTTTCATTTCAGTTTGGAATCTCATGTGTGAATGCTCTTCAGGGTGTTGCTGCAAACATTCGTTATGATGCGATTCATTGAACATTCCCTTGCATCTTACTACGTTGTTCCAGAGTGCTCTGGAGTGAGCAGTTTTGTTAGAATAAAAAGCATGTAGTATGCTTAAAAATGTTTTAGATATGCCTGAGTCCGTTATTTTAAATTGTAATCCGTAATAATGAAGTTTATCAGAGAGAAAGAAAATAAGTGAAAGCTAGAAAGCTTTGAACACCAGTAGAAAGTGATGTTCAAAACAAATAGTCGTAAATTCAAAATCATTGGAATAAGCAATGATGTCAGTCATAATTTTAATTTTTATTAATAGTTTTTTCAATTCCCAAGTGTGAGATCCTCTTCAGTACGTAACATATCTATAAGTATTTTGTATTTTAACTAATAGAAAAATTCTGACTTACCTCAACCAATTTGTACAATGATTATTCTTCATATTACTTCAAGAAAATCAAATAGTAAGCTAACAAGTAATAAAATGTAGTCATGAATTGTTTATAAAAGATATCAGTTTCAAACCAATGTTTCCAATCAGTACGTCTTTTCAAAAATCATAACCTAATTCCACAAATTCATCTGCCCTAATCATGTAGCATCCAAAACTATTGTGATCATCTACTATTAAGTTTCTGAAGTTAAAATGCTGAAAACCACATAACTGTTGCTTTCATCCTAAATTGGCCTACTAATCAATAATGTTCAGTAGTTTTGTCTTAGTTTAGCAACTGTGGTAATAACACATTTCGCTCTATGACATTCCATGACACTTCTATACCACTAAATATTACTTTCTTGGAAACCTAGGAATATATTTTTGTATGCAAATATTCCTTATCACAAATATGACCCTTTTATGTTTATTCATTATAATAAAAATAAAATAGAAAATAATAGTATTGTCTGTCTAACCCTGGAGAAGACCACATAACAATAATGTAGGTGTACTTATAGAGGATTAATATATCTTGAAATTTGAAGATTAAAATCATCAAAAGATTTTGGACTATAGAAGTATTTTTACCTTAATAAGGTCAGTTGCTCAGAAGAGTTCTGTTATAATTGTGAAAGTGTCAGTTTTACTAAATACAATATGTTGATAGGATTTGTTGAGTATTCATTCATTCATTCATTCAATCATTTATAATTTCAGGTGTACCTCCAATGGTGCAAGATGCAAAAGCTGTCGCTGTTAATCCTCAAGATGGCACTGCTGTTTCTCGATGGAAGCAATCCAACAAAGCAGTAAAGTTTCTTTTTATCATCTTTCCTGTGTTTGACAGTACAAGATGTTGATTTGAAACTTGAAATAATATTATTTGAAATTATTTCTCGTTATGCTTTATTCACTTTCAAATGTATATCATTATGGATATAAGCAGTATCTTCAGAACAGTTTCAAAGTAGAATTCTAAAATCATTTTCTTAAAAAAAATATATTATTTTTTCTTGTAGTGACATATTTGATCTTAAATATTTTTATACATAAATATTTAAGGTAAAGTAAGTCAGTTACTTTTGTAAACATTTGAAATGGGATATATTGAAAGCAGTTTCAGCATTGCATGTAAGCATTCAGAAATTTAGGTGAGGTGTAGGATCAATGATTAAATGCATATTCTGTATTTGCCCTTTAGCTCCTGACAGCCGTTGGTCAGGTGCGACAAGCTGTTACTGTTTCACCTGATCTTCCACCACCACCTGACATGACCACTTTACATATCAACGGTATGTATTACTAATAAGAAGCCACGTTTGCAGAGTAATACTAACCATAGCTAAAGAGGGAGCTTTACTTATCGGAATGAGTTATCATAAAAAAGATTAAAGAATTGACTTCTACAGTTGATAGTTCAGTGTATGACTTCCACTGTAAACAAGTGCGTTACTTTTAATGAGATTAGATTCCCAATACACCCTTCAGTTGTGAACTATCCTCATTGAAAAGTTATACATTTCTCTTCTTTTCAGCAATGAACATTTTGTTAGAATTTGTTAGAATACTTGTATTTTAATAGAACACCTGTATTTTATTAGTGAAACTTGTGACTTGACTAGGGGTTCACCTCAAATAATGAACTTTTTTTAGTAAATCTGGTGGGTTTTATTGAGGCTAACTATGAAGAGACATATATTAGGATTCAGTTCTCTAATACAATTTGAGAATATAAATAGAGTTGCCTGATATTCACTATTCAAGCAAACTATTCTTTATTTAAATTATTTAATTATTTACACCAATTGACTTTGTACAAGTAAGTAACAATTCAAAAATTAAATTATAAAGCTACAACTAATTTACAATAATCACTATTGAGCAAAAAAATGATTAACTGAGTTCATCAATCTATGGAATCTCAGCCCAAGTTGTGGATAGACAAATTAAAATTGTTCTAATATTTAATTAGATAGTTCAATTAGATAATTCAATGAGGTAATTCATTGTGCATTTAAGGGACCTCAGAGGCCCAGCGGTTTTTCTTTTTGCAGTAAATATTTTCCCATTCACATTACAGATGAGTCCTTGTATGATACCCATTTCATTGTTTCTTATCATATGACAAACGACTGTCCAGAAAGCCACGAGATTTTTGCATGTTTTTCAGTAGATAGTGCTTTCCACTTAGTGAGCCTTGAGGGCCCAGTAGTCTGTTTCCCCTTAACGGCCGTTGAATGCCTAAGAAGCACATTTGAATTGTTGGAATTTATACACAACCATTCCAGACTTCTTCGATTACTCGTCTTGCGCTAGTAACACAAATTATGATCGTGTAAAAGTTTTTTGGTGCTGTGATTCAGTGAATGGATTTGCACTATGTAACAAAATATACTGTGGGAAAAAGAAAAATGAACCTGTTGCAAAATAATGAAGGTGTCTCAGAGCATCAACTGCAATCAATGCAGTGCCTCTGACCGGGAGGTCCTAGTATTGGAGTTTCGATGGTGACAGGATTTTTGACACTAGATTGTCAGTTAGGTTGCATTCAGCCACTTTCTGGAGGAGAATTCTAGTCACTGGCTGCTCTGATTGGAAGTTTTCTTTGGTCTCTCCTAACAACCAGGCGAATGCCGGAGTAGTAGTCTAACAAAAGGGTCACACATAGGGCACGATCTTTCCTTCCTCTTTCTGGGCCTATCATCATGTCTTATTTACACATAATTATACTTGGATACACTATACTCTCACACATGTGGGGAGAGTAGTTGGGAGCGTAGTATTAGGCTTGGTTCCGACTAGGGCGATATCTGATGGGGGAAATCCCTGTAAACCGACATTGGATCTCACTAGCCAGCAGGGGAAGGTCAGAGCCACTTCCTCGTGATAAAACACGTACTACACTTACGTGACTAATGATCTTGGCAGTTGCTCCCAGAATCACTAAACAATCTATCAATGATAAAGAAATTGGTGCAGCCACTATTCAGTGGAATTGTAGTATTAATATTAGTATTATTGAAGTTGCAGTATCAAGTAACCTGCAGTTTTTTACTCCGCCTGCTTGTTCACATTTTCTGAAAACACATTGGGTGCCCAGTAAAGATGGATATGTTTAATGTAAATGAAAATTACATTGTTGTCTAATTAAATTGACCCTTCATAATTGTTATTATTGATCACCACCCTTTGTGAAAGGTATGTTATTTCTTAACTTCAACATTATTTCCTCTGCAAATATTTTGTCAAATGTCAAATATTAGTTGCTCGACTTGTGGAATGGCTGTTCTCCTAGATGCTGGATATCTTGTTTATATTTTATTGTAGAGTACCTTATATTTATGTTTTTATTTCTCCACCGCATCCTACATCTCACCAGATCTGTTGGTTCAATTTGGAGAACATTAAGGATGTAACTCACATCACTCACGCTCACGCATCCACACACACATGGCGCTCCCACACACGTAACGCACCGACACACCACAGCACACTGTACACACATACACACACACTCACACACCACCCCATTGGTAAGTGCTGTCTAATATTGAGTGGCAGAAGTGCGGTGTAATTGTAATTGTTGTTTTTAAATTATTTAGTTAATTTCTTTGCTTGAGTCATTGGCAACTATTTAATTTTAATCAAATTTGTTACGTTTTTTTACCTTCAATAAAATAGTATATTCAAGTCAAGAAGAATGTGTATGCAGATATGCATAAGGTCATGATATCGTAATTTCAAATGTATTCATATTGCAATGTATTGGATGGCCTTTAGTTCAAGATGTTCAATTTGTATTTGAAATTATCTTTGTTTGTCTGTATGATCTATTGGAAATAACGTGAGCAGATACAAAGAATGTGAGAAAGTGTCTGCTGTTGTAGCCCTTCATGTTTGAAGATCCAGTGCACTGACTTTAATGTTATATCCTGTGTTTGCTTTCCTTCCCTTGCTTTCAAACCTCTCAGGTTGTGGTAATACCATTTAAATATTTCTACTTGTTAACTGTGACTGGACCCCTTTGTATTCATTTAAACAACCAAGCAGAGAAAATAAATCATAAGTTTTGGGAGACATTTTATATTTCAGCTTATCAATAGGCAAGTATAAAATTATTTTTCAGCATTGACCTTGTTGATGCTCTTGTAAATTGACTTTGTCATAGTGTAATATAAATATTCACATTATTTATGAAATTGCAGTAGTGTGTCTTAGGGACATGCATATGTATATTTCTCTGTGTGTCTCACTCACTTATTTGCATATTCCTCATGTGAATGTGGTCCCACAGATTATGCTCCCCCGAGGCCACCACTTCCCGGAGGAGAGCTCCCCCCTCCACGACCTCCTCCGCCTGAAACCGATGACGAGGATGATATGTTCCTGCAGGCTCCTCAACCAAACCAGCCTATTATGGTAAGAGTCCCTTTGTCAGTTTCCTTATTGACGACTACCCAATAGTGAAAGGATGTTTGGACATAGCCAGGTGTGGGAAGAGGTAAAACTTAAAAAGTTTGTATAAAAATGCAAAACTTGAGCACTACAATTTTACCTATGTGGAGATCTTTAGCAGTCATCAGTTTGTAACTCGTTTTTGAGCAGCAATTACAAATAACCTTTTGCAAAAATTATACTAAATTAACAAGGTTGTTAAATAATGATAATTTCTTTATCAATTTATAAAAATCTTTTCTTTCTTAGATTATGAGTACTTTCATTACAGCATGAGAGGAACAGTCAGTAAATGCTCAGAGATATTAGCTGAATGATAATGACAACATTGAGAATTTAATATTTCTGTATGGTAATAGGAATTTATAATAAGTAATTTGTAATAAGAATTTATTTGGAGTTGATGTAAACAAAATAATTAATACAAAGTTTCAAGCAGACTCATATTAAGATATATCCTAAGTTGTTCATCCTTTGAGAATGGTGTGTTGTTGTTTTTTTTCTCCCAAATTGAAAAGCAACAGATTTTCATTGTTACCATTTTCTCCCTTACTGTATACATACAGTGTGCATATTCACATCTAACTGCAAGGAAATTTTTAGTACCAGTTGAGTGAAAATGCCACCCTGCATTACAAATTGTCTTTGCGTTTACAGGAAAGCTTGTTGAATTTTTGAATTGTATTTTAAATCATAATTAGATTTACTATTGCCTTTTGCGATGGAACAAGACCAATAGAAAATGAATTTAACTTTTGAAATAGTTGTGACTTTCATCTGCACTATTGTTGGGAAATCACTTAGGATTGTCATCGGGCAATTGGATTGGGAAGAAGCTATCATATTTTGGGTTTTGGCATATGGAATCTCTAGTGTACTTAAACTCTTGCCTTACAAGAAATTTGTTTTTCCTCTTCCTTTTTTTAATTTTTTTGATTGAGGTGTGTTACTTCTTAATTATCTATATCATTAAATATTTGAATATTCCAAGAGATAATTTACAATAATTGCAAATTGAACTTTCCTCAAAGCATTTGTAATCTTACATGTGACCTTCCCTTAGCCAGATCCTGGTTCTGTGCATAGGAATAGAGGATTTGCGGGTTTTGTGTCAAGAGAAACTATATCTGTTTTTTGAAATTTTGTTTGGTACTCCTTGTAAATTGAAAATGAATTTCTTTAAAAGTGCAGAGAATGCCTGTCACGCAGACTTGATCACCTACACCGAAAGAGGGTGTTCTGTCAGTCAATAAATGATTCCTGTCAGTCAATAAGTGAACCATCAAAACTTTTTAATATCTTATGACTTTTTATATCTTAGACCAAAACATCAAATAAATGTAATGTAAATATCAAATAGTTGCTTAGGTAATTGTCTTCTGGAATAATAATCTGAATTATTCTGTTCAGAGATGTAATACACTACATGTATCAAAGTTCATCAACAATGCAAAAATGTATGTTAAATTTTAGACAGCTGGTGGTGACTATATTTCTCTATCTGCTGCTGGGAATTTGAATTATGATTATGATTTTTACTTTATTTCATTAATTTTTATGGACTTAGATACGTCCACTGCACAATAGTAACACTATTAAATATAATTTAAAGGACAATTTGTTCAAGAGGTACTTACCAAACATTTCAAAATACAGCACATTGCAATGTAGTTAAAAATAAACTAAAAAATATAAAATTAAATAGTATTATAACATTGATAACTACAGTATGCGAAAAAACTGACAAACTAACAAAATTCATGTTTTAATAAGTGGGGCTACCACATTAGCCGTTTTCAAAAAAGTGAGCTCCTTGTAACCATTTCGTAAACCAAAATGTCTGTATGGCTCAGGTGGTAACAACACCATCAGTAATTTTACCTAATCTGCTAATTGGATTGTGGGAGGTGAACACTTTCCTGTATTGTTTTTGTGATGAGATTTTAATTTTAAAAAATTGTGCTTTTCCCCTTGGATTGCATCAAAATAAATCATAGTGCTTGGGGATGGGGGGGGGGGGTGCAAGGAAGTAAGACCCAGCCCACCGGCAAATTCCACTGTCCCTGTTCTGATTGGTTAGGTAAAATTGAAGAATTTTATGCTTTTTTCACACAAAGAGATCCCACATAGCTGTTCCATATCACACCACTGTTTTATTCTCTGCACCAACTAACACTGTTGGATTTTCTGTTTTAAATGGCTGCACTTAACAATTGTTTAGTATATTTATTCTGTACTTGTGTAAGATACAAAATATTTTGAAAGTTGCAGAATTTCCTGGTTACATTTATACTTTTTGATAAGTTCACCACTTTAAGTTTACTAAATCCTTTTGAAAAAATTCTCCATGAAGTTAACAAAATCTTAATTTCCACTTTGAAATTTGGTTTGTGAAATAAATTATGATAGCAGTATCTGGAGGACACTCTTCAAAAGCTTTACAATTTGAATAGCAAAATAGTCACATGATTTTTGGTGAATAATTTAAGCCAATGAATTCTAATTTTAAATCTATAGTCCCTAATATTTCATTTGATTTTTACCTTTGATATCTTTTATTTACATATTTTTATGATGGAAGATGAACATAGAACAGCCTCAATATTGTGTGAAATAATATTTATGAATTTAGGGTGATGGTTGAAAAGAACCAATAAGAGTATTAAAGATTGTATTTGTCAACTAAAATTAACATAAAATTTTAAATAGTGAATGTTTCTCTAATACTCTGGATAAGATACTTTTGTAATGTGCATGATAGGTGGCTTCCGTCCTATTCTTTTGTGTACTTGACCAGATTTCCTTGAGATAAAGCTCTTTAATAGACTTTTTAATATTTTACTCTTATCCTTAAGTCGAAGGAGGATGTCTGAAAAGTTCACCTTAATTCCTATCAGTTATTTGATTTAATTGTAAGGATGTCTCTAAAAATGTTATATTATACATCACTAGGACACCTCATTTAATTAACAAATCAGCCAAGAATGCTGTGTGTTGTGTACTAGAAATGAATGTGAATTTTGTTCAGTCATGGTAAGTCTGCTACTAGCACACTTGTTTTCAGTGAACATGAGAATCGCTGCCTGGTGTAGATGGACAGCAAATGGCAAATTACCAAATGGCAACTGGGAAGCCATCTGACTCGAGTTGTATTTATTTTCAGATTTCTCATATCCAAGTTTCAGCTTGTACCAGGAAGCATTGAATTGTGGTAACATTTGGGTTTTCAAATGTGAAAGCAATGACAGTGGGACACAGTACCAACTGTGGCCATGATTGTTTTCTAAATTTGAGATTGTGTCAATTATCACTTAAAAAGTATTTTGAAAATCCATTGATTTGAAATTGTTAATGGTCAGGTTGCTGCTCATGGCTTGCACCAAGAGGTTCGCCAATGGTCGAGTAAAGATAACAACATAATTGCTGCGGCCAAGAAGATGGCGGTGCTTATGGGACGCCTCAGTCAACTTGTCCGTGGAGAAGGTGGCAGTAAGCGAGACCTCATTGCATGTGCCAAAGCAATTGCTGAGGCAAGTGAAGAGGTGACCCGCCTTGCGAAAGACCTTGCACGTGAATGCACTGACAAGAGGATGAGGACGGTACGCAATGCTTAATTAGGTGATTTAGTTGATGCATAATTTACTGTGTGGTTAAGGTCCACATATTTCATGAAAATAGTGATTGGCGATGTTGATAATGGACATGTAAAATGATGTAGCTTTATAAAATGGGGGATGGATTAAGATGCCACAATCCCCTTGGTTACAAATATCTTGAGTATTACTAGTATATAGGAATGAAAATATGTGTAAAAAATATGTGTGTTAGGACTATCTCCTTTTATATGTGATTTAGTCTTTTCTCTTCAGTCTGTCTCAGAAATGACAGCCTTCGATGAAACTTCATCTTAATGTCAAGTTATGAAGGAAAATAACAAAGTCATGACAAAGAATTTTGTACTTTTTAATTTGCCAGGTTCACTCATTTGCTAATACAACTGCAAGTAATGAGTCTTTCTTTTTTTTTTGTACTGCTGTGCAAAAACTTACTTATTCAAAGATCCTATGATATTAATTTCTTACTCCCATATTAAACTTAATTAAAGCAGTTGGCACTTAGGAATTTCAGTAAAATCTATAACTGCATTGAAGAGCACTTTTTGTGAGTCAGTAGAATTTCATAACATGATGAAAGTATTTGTTTTTCTTAAACTTACTAATTATTTTCTTGAAAATCATACTACTAATTATATTATATCAATTTAGTAAAGAGAATGTTTGTAATGCCTCTCGATGACTATTGCAGAATCTTCTCCAAGTTTGTGAGAGAATTCCCACCATTGGTACTCAACTCAAGATTCTGTCCACTGTCAAAGCTACAATGTTGGGTGCGCAAGGTAAGTTCCTACAATGCATAGGTACAAATACTTGATTGTGATTCCAATGTAGAATACTATGAAAGTTACAAAAACTGGTGAACTTTGTAATATGGTAAATGCTATTTTTTTGTTGGTTGTGAAAGAGCTGGACAATATATTTGCTTTGATGCAAGTAACAAGCCAATATCACACAGGACAAATTGCAGCCTTATATATAGCAGCACATATTTTACCTTATTGATTTAAGGAGAAATCTGCCAGAGCAATTTATGCCGCTGATATCCCTTATCTCAGATGTGAAATTCTTTAACTGCTTTTGATGCTTAAAAATGAATTACTAATTTTTTTTAGTATGCGTTATTTTCTTTGAAAGATTGAAGGGTTTTTTTATTTGTCATGTGAGGAAATATTTTCTATGAGAAGACGAAATTGTGTAGTAATTAATAAATAAAAGTTATTTTGATGATTGACAGACATTTTATGGAATTCTGTGATTTTGAGTGTAGAAAGAAATAATCATCGACAATGTAGAACCTAGGTATTAAATAATAATATGATTAATTTTGAAGTTAATATGTTATTATGTAGTATTAGAAGATTTTATTTTTTTTCCATACATCAACAAAAATAATGCCAATTTGGAAAAATATATGTATATATTTATTTATGTGACAATCATTTAATAGTCTCATCTTTAATGGTGAATATTGGAAAGAAATATTTGTCTCCATTCTGTGGGCATTGTTGCTGCATAAGAAAGAATGTCCTCTCAACCAAACAATGCAAAATAAGTGTAATTCCAAGACCTTGGTCGATTCAAATTACTTGCATTTCTTTAAATGTTTCGTCTTTACCTGCGTCATAGATCAATGTCAGTCGGTCATAGAACCCTCCTATCAACTATCGGAAGTGGCAGTGAGAAGCTGATCTGCAGGGTTCTACACTTTTGTCCCACCAAAATGGAGGATGGTTACCTAAGGTGCAGACAAACCCTCAAAAAGAATTTGAAAACCAACAAAAAGTTCATTTTTCCACATTTCATTTTCTTCTGCATTCTAAGATTTTACATAAATTCTAATTTTCAGTTGCTGCATCATATGCTGCTTACTTTTCGGAGAGTGGACTGTTTGTACATGAAAATGTTATAAATTGAGGCTTTAAAATGCAGAAGACAGTTGAAAAGGGGGTAGGATGGCTATTCAAAACTCATTGAAGGGGGTGTCTTAGTGTCTTTTGCAGCATGGGTCCAGGCACTGCCTGGGGGAGCCATCTAAAGCTAGCAGCACCCAAAAACCAATTTCAATCAAATTATATCCAAAATTTTAGTTTATTAAATGCTTTATTTCCGAATTTTAGGCTCTTTTGGATTTTCCCAATTCATGGGCGCTGCTAGCTTTAGACTAGAGATAGCAGCACCTACGTAAAAAATCCATCTCAAAATCAATTCAAAAATATGAGACAGCACCAAAATTTAATTTTGGGTAATTTGAGGCTCAAGGAAATAAATTAATCCCGCATTTATATTCCAGAAATCAGGGCTCTACAAAGAGAAACTATTAACATTGCTTCTTGTGGGCAAATAAACACCAAAACCAAAAAACATTAGAAAAATTGTGAAACCCTACCCAAAATTTAAGGACAATTTGAGGTCCTTGATAAAAAAGATTGACCTATTTTTATTCCAAAAATCAGGGCTGTACAAAGATAACACATGTCCTTATAGGTTACTTAACAGAAAAATTAAACACCAAAGAAAAAATTCAAACTCAACGCAAAGTCTCAGGCTAAATTGAGGCTCTAGAAAATAATTATTCCCGCTTTTTAATTCCACAAATTATGGCTGTGCAAAGGGAATCAATTAACACACGTCCTTATAGACAAATAAACAAAATAATCAAATACCTACGAAAAATATGAAACAATGTGCAAAATTTTAGGCTAATTTGAGGCTCTAGCAAAAACATTATTCCTACATTTTTGTTCCAAAAAGCAGGGCTGTACAAAGAGAATCGATTAGCATATGTTCTCATAGGTGAGTGAACAGAAAAATCAAAAAACCTCAGATAAACTATGAAACCCTGGGCAAAATTTAAGGCTAAGACTAGACTCTAGAGCCTAGGCTAATTTGAGGCTCCAGCAAAAATTTGTTTTCTAATCATATTTCAAAAAGCAGTGCTGTACAAAAAGAAACAGTTAACATAAATTTCTAGTAGTTAGATATCCCAAGTTGTCTTTTCCAATTGATTTACTACAAAGTTTCTTTCTTCAGCACACTCTTCTTCAATTCTTCAGCACACACTGCCGCTAGAATTTCGGAAGCTACTTCTCACCCTGTGAGCAACAATTACGAAATGATCAAGCCAAGTGATTTACTCACAAAGGGTAGAGAAGATATTGAAAGCCATAACTCATTATCACTTGTTAACTGACAATGGGAGGAGAAAATAATCAAGAGCAGCCTCTCGGAGAATTTGAATGTGCAAAATAAATAAACAGATAAAAATAAAATATACTAAAAATGTTATAAAAAAATAAAAGTTATATTTAATCAGAGTTTGTAAAATTTCTAATAACAATTCAAAAATTAGAAACAAGTTTACTTCTGGTGGTATCCTAAAACATTGTTTGAAATTATTAAAATGTCTTTGGAATTGGTGTTTGTAGGCACGGGTGTAACTGCCAGGGTGGAATTTTAAAAAGCGTTAAATTCAAATCCTGATTTGAAATATCTCAAAAATATAAGAAACTTTATTAATGGTTCCAGAAACGCTAAATATTCCAGTATTGAAGCAGGACTGTCCAGAAAATGACTTGGCAAACGAAAACTATATATGAGTATAGGCATCTGGAATGTGTAGGGTCTCAATATGAAAAGAATAAAAGTCTTTGAAGAAATTAAAAAGATGGGAATAGAAATTGCTGTGTAGTCAGAAACAAGGAAAAAGAGTCAGGGAGTAGAAGATAAAAAAGACTACATATATTTATGTATACAATGTATTTAGAACTAAAAGAGTAATTTCCATTGCTGTGTTACAGAAATATAAACGTAACATTAATAGTTGGTCATGTGTGAGTGACAATATTTTAAAATTAAAGGTATTGAAATGGTTAAATTCTCGGCTATCCGGGAGACGCCGCGTCGTTGGCTGGATTCATGCCGCGGAATGACAATTCTATCGAATTAGGAAGAGATAGGTTTTTTTAATCAGCTGACAATGGGAAACCAAACCGAGAGGATGTATTGTTAGTGGGAGATTTTAACAGTAGAGTTGGAGAGATTGCGCAAGACAAAGTTGTAGGAAGATACAGAGCGGAAGTAATAAATGGAAATTGTGAATGACTAATAGAAGTATGCATCCAGTTCTGTTAAAATGTATGGATGGGTTTTTCAAATATTAAGATATTAACAAACTTGTGACCTTATAGCCATAGTGTTCTTTCTAATCTTCATATCTTCAAAACCCATCAGATATTGCCAGATACATGTTCAACGCAGTCTGTCAGTGAATAAAGCATGGCTTGTCTTGAACAATGGTGGCACTGACTGTGTGGCTCAAATGTTAGCTAATTGCAATGAAATTGTTTAATTGTTTGAAGCATGATTCGTAGAGATTTTAAGCTTTGATTTGCTTCAAGTAAATGTATTTTGGATGAAAATTCAGAAAGTGGTTGTTATTTGAGAATTATCTATTTTTGTGTTTTTTATGTAAAATTAGCCCAACCAATTCTTTGATCAAATTTAATTATTGTGCAAATTAATAAAATTGAATGCATTGTTACTCGGAACATGTTCACAATGTGGATTCTTTACTACCGCGGAATATATTCTCCGAGTGTAATTGTGTCCAACAAGGTGACCGGAATCATGACAATTATATAAAATTAGCCCTATTGAAACTAGTAACACACTTTTTTGGGTCAAACAAATAATGTTGTGTGACCAAGACATTGTTATCGGATATAGTGAACACCACCTCTGCCTACCATCTTTTGAAAAAATACCATTTAATATTTATCTCTTAATTTCTGAAAAGTAGCTCAAAAAGCCAAAAAATTGGGTGTTTATGGGGTTAGTGGCGCAACTAAACCCATTTGAAATACTGTTTTTTGGTGGTTATTTTTACATTGAAAACTTGCATTGTTTCGTTAAACCATTGCAACCTATTAATTACAATATATCCTAATGCATAGAGACACACAGACACTCGTGCACAGATGCAGGGGCAGTTATGCAATGGAAGTGATAGTTTCCTCAGAAATCAGACACAATTCCGCAACAGAGTTTGTATTTTTAAGATACGTGAAATAGTACAAGAATTGATAGCAAAACTGGGTTCTAAGAGAATGACCTCGGTCACCTCACGCCTCAGACCATATCACTCGTGAAGGGGCAACTGGGACTACTGGAGCCTGGATGCACTACTAATTGAAGCAGCTAATAGCTTCCGCCGTGCAGGAGGGACAGGTTGAAGGTGGCACTCCCTTGTAAAATGCAAAAGTCACCTGTGGTCGCCTCGGTTACCAGCAGAAAGGTGGGCAACTCATGTTGCAGATAGGCCAAGTTAACCAGGGGTGAGCAAACCATGTGAGAACAGATGGACAGACGGATATGCTCGGACACAGAGAGAGTCGCACATGCACACACATCACACCAAGCACCACACCGAACACCAAACACCACTCACAACTCACCACTCACAACTCACCACTCACAACTCACCACTCACAACTCACCACTCACAACTCACCACACGTTTTCACTAGACGAAGGCACAAAACTGACAAAATGGTCAAAAAGAATTTAATCTGTTTAGTCTTTGATCCGTTTTGATAATAAATTACGTTGTTGCTTAAACAGTCAAAAAATTAGGCCTGCACAATTTTCTTAACCGTCCTTTGATCTGTGAAAAAAAATTTGGAGCAGTTTAATTTTTGTTGTTTTAATATGAAATGCATTAACGCCAAGCAAAAATTAAGTAAGGATTACACATTTTTAAAAAAATTGTACGTGACTTAAG